CTGCACTTCAAATTCATGAGCTTGATAATAATGTGTCTCTCTTAAACGAATCAAACTAATAGCAATACTTTCATATCCTATTTCTTTATTTCCTCAGTGTGTTTCAACTTTAGGAAAGATGCCTCTGGTGTCACTTCACTGCTGTCTGTGATGCTTCTTAATGTCCCAGCTTTGTTGAAGTCATTATACTTGCATAATGAACCAGCAAATGTGTCTGAAGGCGGATGGGAAAAAAAAAACCCATTAGCGCAGCTCTGCAAGCCATTTATCTGTCCATACATAATTTCATATTCATGAGGAAACAGCTGAAGCCGATGTGGCCAGGATGAGGCACAGAGGTGAGACACTAAACTGAAGAAATCATTTTGAAGCAGCTTGTAGGGAGGGTATTTGAGGAATAATAACAGCCAAAACATCACTGCACATCCAGAGGCTTGAGGTGTTTAAAAAAAAACTTTTTTAATAGATGCATTTTGAAGTCTTCACTGCTCTTTGCGCAGCGTTTGGAGTTTAAGGGTGCAACCTGAAACCGTTTGGGTTAGTCTGGAGATTTCATTGAGGAGGGGAAAAAAAAAAAAGTAAACTTTCTGGGTGGGGCTGGTGAGAGGAAAGAGAGGGAATAGAGAGAGGGAAAACAGAGTGATGTGTGTGCTGTGAATTCAAAGCTGGGTGGGTCTACTGTGTCTCACATTCCCAAATATCTCCCGGGCTGTGCCGCGTTAAAGCGCTTGCAGGTAACGTTTATCCACGCTGTTTGTATTATCTGAAGTCTTAATAGTGCACTGTGAGGTGATTCATTTGTGTGATTTTTTTTTGTTTTGTGTGAAGTTCAGGAAAAAGCTAAACATTGAGCTCAGAAGTGTATAGATTTGACCTTAAGCGCAAAAATGGCACAAAGGACGCGCGGTTCTGAACTTTTCACATCATCACAGAGTTAAGAAGATACGAGTGTTTATATACTTTGAGTTAAGATTTTAGTTGTTTGTTGGATTTTAATTTGGTTGTGGTGTTCTCGCGCTCTTTTTAAAGGTGTTGTCTATAGTAAAGCAGGGCCTGTGTGTGTGTGTGTGTGTGTGTAAGTGTAACGCAGCGGCACTATATGGGAATGCCCTAACACCGTCCAAACAAATGCGCCTTTCTTGTCGACGGAAACAGACGAAGGCCATTAAAGTTTGGTCATTAAGCAGACGGCTTCGTGTTTCCCCCTCACTACAAATGGACGGTGTTTCATTTAAACCCTCTTACTCTTTGTTTACATGTTTTTTTTTCTCCCCCCCTCTTGGTGTGACGTTTTGAAACGTGAATCCATTAGCAGAGGGTTCAGAGAGGTGAATCAGTTTGACAGCAGATGTGTGTGATTCACTTTTGGGGGCAAGTTTGGACTTGCATGTCACAGCTCACCTCTCAGGCTGAGTGTGTTTTTTGTTTGACACAGTATTCATTTGGGACATGTGTGTGTGTGTGTGTGTGTGTGTGTGTGTGTGTGGGATGCTTCCCCGTGCACGAGCCTGTGTTACAATAACTCTGTTTCTGGAAAATAAATAATGACGTGCATCCTTCCGCCTCTCCCTGTTATCAGTTTTTCAGAAGGCCAAAATGTTGGTGCTGGCTGGAATCGTTGTTGTGCACATTACCACCATCATCCTGCTGCTGGTGGCCACCATCGATAATGTGAGTGGATCTTATTTTCTTTGGTTGCACACATTGAGAACACAAGACCCTCAACTTTTATTAACAGACAAAACACACCTCTATCAGTATGTATTTCTCTTTTAAAGCTCAGGACAGCACTGCTATTAAACCACTTGTAGTGTAGTCGAAGTGTGTTCATGTATTCAGCCACAAACAGTGTTTCAATACTGACTTTTACATCACAAGTAAAACATAAGTTGTTATACATTTACTTGATGTTCATGCTACCTGTGATTTCTTCCTGTTTGTCCTCAGGCCTGGTGGATCACCAACACGGTGTCCACTGACCTGTGGGGCAAGTGGGTGTTGACGGGCTCAGACTGGCATTACACCAACCTGAACAACTACCCAGAGGGTAATATATGGAGGGGATTGGGAATGGGATTCAAAATAAAGTTTAAATGTTGACTTGATCGGACATTCCAGATGTTCAGATAAAGAAAGGGACGGGCTTTTAAACAGAACTGGTCATGTGATTAAAACAAAAAAAGAAACTGCTATTATAATTCATTGTCAATAATAATTGGATCAGTTTAATGGTATGAGTCGATCTGTTCCTTGTGTTATTGTGACTGTGTGTCTGTGCTCTCATCTTGCTGCTGCAGAGTTCCTCCAGGCGGTTCAGGCCACCTCGGTGCTGGCCTGTGTTTTCGCCATCCTGGCCTTATTTGTGTTTGTGGCCCAGCTGTTCACCCTGCCCAAAGGCCAGAGGTTCACCTTCACCGGCGTGCTCCAGCTAATCGCCTGTAAGTAACCTGGGGTCAAACCTCCTCACCTGCAGCTGCAAGAAATATTGATTTATGAGCCAGCTGATATTTGTACACTGTTCAAGACCTCAGGGTTTCTACACTGAAACTATTTTATATGGAAGGAGTGAGTTTAACTCGTTAAAATGATTATTTTATTTGCCAGAGCAAACGTGTTGAGAGCATGTCTGACCTCTGCTGGCATCACTAACACCACATTAGACACTTCATCTATGGAGGCAGCATGCACAGTCTGCATGTAGTGTTAGAGATAACATTGATAAAGACACGGGGGGGGGTGATCAAGAGTCTGCAGGCTCTCAGTTTAACTAAACTCTAAATCAGCAGTTTTTACATGAAGCTGAAGAAGGTCAGACCTGATGGACTTTCACTGCTGATGGTTTTCTTAACTGAAGCCTTAATGTGTCCTAAATATCACACTCAGATTGTAGTTTTAACATTGACCTCCAGTCTCTGTGATATTTTTCAATATGGAAAAGAAACAGGAAGTTATTCTAAATGCATGCGGTGAGTTTATGTAGACTAAAATATAGGAAATTAACATTTGAATCATACAATCGCAATTTGATTATTTTACACCTGAGGCTGTTTTCTCCTAGGCCTGCATGAACTGATAAAAACAATACTAATGTTCAATATTGACATATGGTGTGATAAATATACTAACATTAAAGAATCAGGATTAGCTTTAGCTGCAGCTGTTTACATGTCTCGTCTGAATCCGCCCCAAAAAATCCAATAAGCATCTTTTTATTACCACTAAATAATCACTAATAAATATGACTGCATCAAAATGATGTGAGATCATGGACGTCATACTCAGGCTTCTATTCAGTGGGTGTTATGTAAAAGCATTGCTTGTCTCCATGAAATAAGAGTTCTTATTTATTGTGATGGATCCACACTTTTGCGATTTTGTTTATTGTGGATGCTCATATTGTGATTTATTTTCAGCCCTAGTCTGAAGTTATGTCATTGAATGGTTTGTCATGAATCCAATCACAACAATGTCACAACCTAGAGTTTCATTAGTCCCACCATCAGCCAATTATTCAAAGGAATGCCAGCTGTGGCTCAGTGGTAGACTCGGTCGTCTCTCTGCTTCTTGTGTTCCTGATCTCGATCACAAATCAGGGAATATATGAACCTCTTGATTGTCTCGTCTTCGTGTATATCAAAGTTGTCTCACCCTCCCCCGCAGGCCTCTGTATAATGATCGCAGCCTCAATCTACACGGCGGAGCTTCACCCCAACGACACAGAGGGAGGGTACGGACACTCCTACGTCCTGGCCTGGATCTCTTTTGTCCTCACCTTCCTCCTAGCAGTCACCTACCTCGTCCTGCGGAAGAAGGGCGAGTGAGAGGGAGGAGAAGAGGAACAAGGGCGGGCCTGGGATCAGATTCCCTGTTTGAATTGAGGGGGGGGTTAAACAGTAGGATTTTTGTTTCAAGAATAGGTCAAAAGAAAGATTGTTGAACGACATTTGCAGCTCGGAAATTGTGTGGGAATGATGTTCAAATGCTAACTAGAGCCATTTGTGTACTTAAAATATTATAGATTGGAATAGAAGCCAGGACACACGACATGAAGTGCTCGACAGTTTGACTTTAGATTTCTCTTCAAGAGAGAATAGGGAAATATTCAACGGGAGGATTCACAGTATTTGATCTACTTATTCACTTTGTTGCTGAGAGCTGGCTAAGAAGATCTACTCCGCTCATTTCCGTTAATGTTTAAGGATGGCACTAGCAGACAGTTAGCTTAGCATCAGGATGGGAAACAAGGTTACGTGCCAAACAACAGTCTCTAAACACTCACTATTTTGTAATTTAGTTTTTCAAAAAGACAATAAGTGGATGTTTCTGGTTAAAACGAACAACAGGTGCTGTGTTATCTCGTTACCTTTGCACAGCAGTTTCCTGTCTGTATGCTAACATGTTAGCTGCCTCTGGTGCTGTCAGTAGCTTCCTGTTTACTGCATCATACTGAGTGGATTAAATCTTTTCATCAAAATCTCAGGAAGAAAAATAGAAACATTTCCAAAAACGTCAAACTGTCCCTTTAAGAATCAAACAGAGGTGAAGTAGAACGAGTCAGGCCCCTTTGAGAGAGTTAGTTTATGTTAGGGAAGATTATCATCCACCTTATTCCCCTCGTGAGGCCGACAGTTTTCACTGCAGGTCTCTTCAGTCTAGGATCTGTGAAGTTCCTCTTGAAGTTCTTGACCAATCAGAAGAGACAAGCCTTCGTTTCCTGTACAATTGGCTTTAATCATGTATCGTTATTTTACAACTGAAGTCTAGTGTATCCTTTTTTATCCATGTACATTGTAACCAATATATTTTTGTAACATTTTGTACGGAGTGTTGTTTTTTTTTTTAACCGTGTTTGATTCTGTGTAGTCGGCTGCTATCGTAAGAAACGTACATGAAGCCTTCATGTTTCATGTCACCATGTTTCAGAAATATACAATAAAAGGTTGTGTTTGTAATTACAGTGGAATGAAAGCCATATCGTTTAATAATAAAAACAAACTATATCACAGAGCTCGTGTGTTTAATGAACTATTACATCATAAATAGGTGTGAACGGGGGAGGGGAGGGGGGGAGTCAGGTGCACACAGCAGCTCAACAATGTGTTTACATTTAGAGTTCACATTTCAATAAAAGTCTGATCAGGATACTAAAATAAAACATAACAGTTCTAAAGGTCTAATTGAACATTCATACTTTGTTTCATCTTCACGACTCTGCCTGATAAGAGCAAAGTTGGCCGTGTGTGTTTCTTAGTGCAGGCGACAACAGAGCGGTTTGGAGAACAACACTTCTTCAGGCCTTACAACAGACCCAGTCAGAAACAGGAATGTTCCACCACATAAAGTATCGCTCCCAGAGGAAGTGAGTCAAAACTGGACTGTACTAGATGCCTTGCCCAGACGGTGTGATGCGCTCCTGAACCACCAGGTGGAGAAGGTGATTCTGCTCCGCAGTAAGAAACGGCCTGGGAGGAAAGAAAATAGAAACACAATCAATATGGAAAGTTAGGAGAAAAAAAGCTGCTCAAATCGCCAACACGTGATGGAAATCGACATATTTGAATGCTCACCATAGCTCAGTCTGGAGAGACTTGAGGGACTCTGTGTCTTTCTCCTGACACGCCATCTGCAAAACAGATCTGCTGTTATAAAGTGCACACATAAAACCAGAACGGACGATTAAGACGACCTTGACGGGTTCTTGTCAGCGTTTATTCTCTCTTATATCTCCAGCCTGTTCATCCCAGAGCTAACTGCTCTACAGCATATTTGTCTTTACAGGGAACATTTCAGGTCATAAATAAACATCAACCATGAACAGCAGGTATCGACTGTTTCACATGAATGAGAATTTAAAGTGGATTAACTCCAACATGACTCCGCTGACACAAAGCGACAGACTCGGGCACATGAATCAGTGCTCTGTGAAGGACACGAGGACCATCACTCTTCCTGTGTGAGGCAGGAAGGATCAGGAAATCCTGTGAAGTGTACAAGTATGTGGGTGATGAAACTCACCACGACTGACTGCAGGAGCAGGAAAACATTCTCAGGCAGGAAGGTCACTGAAGGAAAGGACGAGCGGCGAGTTAACAGCACTTCAAATAAACGGCACATGAAGTATTCATGATACAACATCTGCTATAAGAGTGGAAAAATGTTTCGAACGTGTGCTTTCATACCACATCGGTGTATTTACCTTGGCTGTGAGGGTCAAAAGACTCCCATGCGTATCGCTCCAGGGTCTGAGCATGTTCTGGTAACAGCTTCTGAGGCGGAGGCTGAACAGGAAATCAGTAAGAAAGGAGCATTAATGTTTCTGCTGCTGTATCAGTAAGTCATGGGTGATGTCAATACTCTTGGCATCAGTACTGCAGTATTCTCTGTAGGTCTTCTGGTGAGGAGGTGTTCCCTTCTTTTAAAGCATGCTCTGCTTTGTGGCAGGTTGATCTTTGGCCACTTGTTGGACGAAGTATTGGCAGGTGTTGTTAAGTATCTGAGGTAAAAATACTCGGCTCAGGAAACACACCGGTTTATCTCAAATACAATAATTCAGTTTAACTGCATGTTCTAAACCGTCCGCTTTGGAGAGACAGAAATGCAGAACTTATTTGAGTCACAAACTGTGAACATTGATTTCATGTTGTTGAGGTTCTATTTTCACCTTCAGTCACATAAACATTGTCGATGACTTTACAAAAAGCTGTTTTCACATAATGCACTCCTGAAAATATCTAGATTATTTCAGGAGGACTGCTCCGGAGATTCTCCTGACCCGGCTGTTCAGATGATCGTCACAGCGGGAGACTATCCCTCTCAGACAGGAGGTGGGTGGGTGGGTGGGGGGGGGGTCTACTGAGGTAAGATGTGACTACAAAAAAACAGCGGGGAACTAGTGGACGAAGCAACAGAGCTCGCTATACGACGATATCATGAGAACATTTTCCTTTATATCAATGCTTGTGTAGTTCAACAGAATCAATTAAAGAGCGGTGAACAACATACAGACGAACAGAAAACATAATAACAGCCGTTTAAATACTTGGACAGGGGTCGTAGCGTTCCCGTGCAGATGGACTATGACCGAGTGTGACACTGACTTCAATGCTACAAATAAAAAAATGGACCTCCAGGGGCGTTTAAATCTAAAACAGAGGAACTCCCCTCAGACAAACTACTCAATCAGGGTGATTTTCTTGTTATATCTTTATGTTTAAAATCAATGAGCTTACCTCAAGCAACATCAGCAGCAAGACTCTGGAGATCTCACATTTTGCCACAATGTCCAGAAAAGCTCCTTTATCAGAGAAAACACAAAGATACAGAGGAGAAATGATCACAGTTTAATATTACACAGTTTATCAGTCAGCGTCATGACATTAACAATCACACAGAAGATGAAACAAACACTGCTTTATCTTTATCTTCCTTTAGTATGTTTGAACAGCCACCATTTCTCAGTTTTTTTAAATGTTATCTTCCTTCATTTGGATCTGTTCATGTTTGAGAATCAAACAAGCAGGTTGTAGAAAATCCCCCTCCTTCTGTTACTGTCACCTGGCTCTGTGGGAAATCCCCCCCCCCCCTTCCCTGACTCTCCTCACTCCCCTACCCGCATGGGCGGGCCTTCACTTCAGAGCCAATCAACGCTGCCAGCTCATCCCGTGTCATCCCTCTCAGAACAATGGAGCACATCACCTCATGAGTTTGTACTGAGTGTTTGAAGTGTGAGCTCTGCTTCTGTGCTTGTTCTTCCTCATCAACAACAGCCCGTTAGGATGGAATTAACCCTTGAACTGGTGTACCCTGCGACAGTTATAGTGTTCCTTACTATCAAACATTCTTCCCAGGTCGAGCCTGTAAGTAAACGCAGTCTTACCAACAGGTGTGCTGGTGCCCGGTAGCTGCAGTCCTCTCTCCTGACACATGAGCTGCATCTCTGTGAACACTGACAACGCACCGTCGTAGTCGCCTGTAAATAAAATAACAAAAGAGGATAAATCTCAAACTGCAGAAGATCACGCTGAATCATAAACATTAACTTTGAATATCAGAAACATATCCGATCAAATAGACTTACGGGTGAAAATTTTGCATGTGGCCATTTCTCCCATTGACAGCAGAGCTTCTATCGGAGTCTGTGTCTGTAACTCTGCAGCCCTCTGGTAATGAACGATAGCTTCCCTGGTCTGTTCATCTCCTATTGATACCACCCGAGGAGTTTGGATTGACAGGTTATCGAATATCCAGTAAATCAAATAAAAAATAATAATCTAACAAAGCACAGTTGTGTTTTAGAACATGCTGAAGCCGTGATGTTTTTACCTTGAGCGCGTTGCCAAGTTCTAGACATAAGCTGGCTGCCATCACAGGCTGGTTCATCTCGATGTAAACCTGTACACCATATGTACGTCAGCATTACTTTCATGTCTCTATAGGAATGTGTGAACAATACTGTGATGTAGAGACTTTAATATGTGTTCTTCTACATGACGTGCCAACAGAAAACTAGTGTCACAAACTACTACTACTTTCTCTTCTCAGATATTTTCAGAGCACATCTGTCAAACTGTCAAAGAAGGAATCACAGTTTTACCTTGATGGCAAAGCTGTAGCAGTTGAGCGCAGCCTGAAGATGCTCATCGAATCCTGGAGCCTGCAGCGCCCTGTTCTCCTTCTCGGATAAGAGGAAAAGGCGGGCAGCGTCCGTTAATGCCAGAGCCTCTCCAGGAGCGTTGAACAGCGTCTGCTCACACCTGCAAGTCATGAACATATTCAGGATGAAAAACCTCATCAAATGGGAAAGCTGCAGTGTTTCCCCTACCATTTTATATATATATATTTTTTTTAAGATTGATTTTTGGGCTTTTTGTGCCTTTATTGTAGAGATAGGATAGTGGATAGAGTCGGAAATCAGGGAAAGAAGTCATTTAAGGATACCTTTCTGATAGAAAAGGACATCTGTCATTAAAAGTAACGCATGAACACCAAGATTCCTTCAAGTGTTTGTGTCGTCGTGTCGGCTTGTCCCCACCCTCCCCCCCCAACGCTGTAAACCTAGGGGAAACACTGAGCTGGTAAAGCCAATTACATGAAACTGGGGGAACACAATTGCGTATTGCTCTGTACACGGTGGAACACTTAGATTTGTAGCATGAAGCAAAGTTTGGTAAAAATGGAGACAACTCACCGAGCCATGGCGAGGTTACAGAAGGCAGCATACTGAAGGCAGTCCTGCTGCTTCAGCTCCTTGGCTAGCTGACCTGAAACAAAGGGAAAAACAAAACACAAAATGAGACACACTTTTTTTTTTTTTTTTCAATTTAAGCTCTAGAAGGAAAAGGACAGATACTGCTGTTAAACTACTGTCATTTTGATGTTTAATAATAATATAAAGATGGAGTTAGGATAAAAAAAAAACCTTTGTACTTACCAAACTGCTCACTCGCCTCCGCCACATTTGGCTTCCGTAGAAAACGTCTGCGTCAAAGAAACGTATTTACTGACCTCTTAAAGACCTCAATATAAAGAGTTTTCAAAGTGTAGGTAATAAAACTAAAGTTACTGTTATCTATCAGACCCACAACACATCCTTTAGTTCATCTCATTGAACATTAAAACCATTAAAATGCACATAACGGGATGTATTGTTATGAATGTGACACCTGCTCCACTAGCAGTGGCTGGCTAACAGTTAGCTTAACCGAGCTAACATCCAATGGCTAGCTGTTTACTTATCTTTAACATCGTTGTCAAAGTGACGTTTGTTTAAATCTGTTAACTGAACGTCGTCTATTCAACCTGATAAGTCTTAGAGAGCCTTACTTCTTCAGTTTATTTGACACAGCACGGTATCTCGCTAGGAAATCGCCCTCCGCAGCCATGATCGATACAGAAAACACAACAAACCAACCCGGAAGTGCGACCGAAAGACGCTCGTAATCTCCGGCTCTCATTGGTCAATGTAATTAAAAAGGGGGTGGGGCTTATGGTCATGAGAGGGATGAGAGAAGAAAGTCAGAAATCAGGCCGAGTCAGTTGACTGAACAGATTTATTTTCTTTATGAATTCATTTTTTTTTTTTTTTTAATTCACAGCCAAGAGGAGGTGGGTTTATGGAAGCCCATTTCCGCCAGTTAAAAAATAAAAATAAAAATAATAAAGTCATAATAATGATATGAGATTGAAGTTGTAATTATGAGACTTTTATTATTTTCATTTTTATTTTTTTTACTGGCAGAAATGGGTTTCCATAGAGGGTTACTATCTCCATTCACTCCAGTGCTGCACAAAAGTTACCAATCTTACCACATAATTCCACAGGAAATTTCACAAGTATTTTTTTTCTGTTCACGTGATACAACTTCATTTTTTTTGACTTGTTATGGAGTAAATCCAACAGTTAACAAAATAGTTGAAATGAGCTCTGTCTGCAACATTACAATTCTTGCTACATGTGAATTCATGAGACTTGGTTAACACACAGTATTATCCATCATGAGTCAGCTCTTAGAGGCCATTCTTTCTGCATTGTGACCTAATTTTAGCATAGTTTCTAATACTTCTGTATTTTTCATTTAGGGTTAGGGTTAGAGTCATTCTAAACATTTTTCTTGTTCAGTGTAAATACTTATTTCTAAAGTTAAAGGTGACAATGACACAGCAAAGCAAAATGTTACATTTCAAAATACAGATATAAATATCAAAACCTGTTGAAACAAGTTTGTTAATGTTTTAAAAATTCTCATAGACACACTCGAAAACACCTTCTTGCTGGATCTGTGTTGTTTGGGCCATCTGTGGAGAAAGTGAAAGAAAGGTCACCAACTGCATGTTTTTCCACTGTGACTGCAAATGTGACAGAATACTTGAAGTTTACACTGACCGTTTGTTGGGACTCCTTTTTCTTGACTTTAGCTTTGCTTTTGTTCGACCCTTCTTCAGTAGTTGAACGGTCCAACACGTCATAAATTGACCCGGCCCGATGCTCGAGACTCTGTGAGAATTGTGAGTTAGTTATACCCAAATGAATTACTGAATCGGAGTAACATTTCATTCAACTGAAAGATGTGTGTCATAAAACTGATGGACTGAAAGGTGCTCACAGCGTAGAAAGAAGTCGATGGATCTGTGACCACATTCAGGTTGTCTTCCTGCTCCTCCTTTGCCATCCTTTCTTCTTGTTTCTGCTCATGTTTTCTGTTCGGCTGGCCACAGCTAGAGAAGTGTTCTTTCTAAAAATGACACATAATTCTTTAAGAAGAAGAAGACAAAAGCAAACAAACTTCTCCCATGTTTGTTTTCTTGTGATGTAACACCACCAAGTCTCATGATTATCAAATGCATACATTTAAGTCTTCGCTCTGAGAAATGTGGTTGGATAATTGCTTTTGGACTTTACTTTAGAAATGATCACAATTTCTGTCAGGATGAGGTAACTACGTTTGCTGATAAAATATAGTTCCTGCTGTGAAGGTGGGCTTTGATGTAGCTCTGTTTGACAGTTTATCATGTGTGGGTAAGATTCCATATAGTTTACTATTCTGTATTATGATGATCTGTACAGTATTGAAATTATAAATGTTTCAATCACTATCCAGAAATTTGACGATCTTAAGAAGTTACTCAGTTGATGGAACGCAACTTTACAAAGATCTTGTGTTTAAAGGAAAGGTGTGATTTTTTTTCATGGTTTCATGGACTGCTGTGTAGAGGCGCTGGTTGTCAACGGGCAAGGCGGGCAACAGCTTGGGCTGATGAACTTTAAACCACAGTAGTTGCTCAAAATGTGCAATGTTTGCAATGACAGTAGGAAACGTCCCTAAAGGGGCCCCATCTGACAGGACTCACTCATGTAATAGTAAATGACTGAATGATGCTGGTCAAGACCTAAATATGGGGGGGAGACACTTTATTAGCATAACTTCTGCTAAATGTTTTAGCTAAGATTGAATTTTGAAGGGCATTGATTACAACAGGTTGTAGCTTCCCACCTGATGTAAGAGAACTGAAAACTGTTTCCATTAAAGGAAAGTTTCTCAGAAGCGTGTTGGTAAAGCCTAACTGGCCAAACTGTAAAACAGTACACTCACAAACTTCTTAAAATGCCTTTAGTTGACGGTTTATTTTCATTAACTAGTTATTATGTTTGATTATTCTGAAGCTGACGCTCACTTCATATATTTATTAGTTAAAAACATCATCAGAAAACAGTGATGACTGTACCAAGAACTGAAGATGGCCTCTTTGACTTATCCTAAGAATGGGAGTGAGAACTATCTCATTTTTGTCTTGAAAAATCAATCAAAGTAGAACTGTACATTCTGTAGCACATTAAAAAGATGCTACACAGCTCCCTTCAACATCTCCCTGTGAGCTTAACTTCAAATGTGTTACAAAACCTTTTTCCTCACACTGAAGCATGATGTTTACAGTCGGCTTGCGACCAGGTCCCATCTTACCCAATTTCCTCTGAAGACACACACCGAGCCGACCACACTGAAAACCAGCAGCAAACTGGTGAGTATGGCCAGGATGAACTCAGTATGATTCCACATTATGGGTTCAGTGTAGCCTTCATCTGGAAAACACACATTCAGTTCAGTGTGTGCAGGAATGCATCTCAACTGGACGGCTGGTAAATTCCTCATCTGTCAAAAAAGTATTCTGCAGACTGGAATTAATTTCAGATTCATATTTTATATCAGTAATTCTCTGTCAGCAACATTTAAACCCTCTAAGTCTACGGGCTTTAACACCCCATCCAGAGGTCAGGATCCTCCTTTTGTTCTAAGGATAAATCTAAAGGGCTAAAATCATCAGAGGAAGCAGACAGAAAAACATATTATCTAAGAGAAAATCTTTATTCATTTTTCTCACTTTCCTCGCAAATCTTGTTCTTTATGAATTTGTTAATAATTGAATCAGGATAAATCACTTGAACTGCTTCAAACTAAACTATTAAGACAAGAACCCTGACCGATTAATCGGCCGGCTAATGTCTCGGCCGATATTAGCATATCATTAGAATGACTTTCATTGTATCATACTAGCAGTTCTCCAGCAAAGTTGTATTTGGATTACAACAAGCATCATCACTCTCCGGAGTGTCAAGCCATGACACATGACAAGTACAGGCACAGTTACTTTCCAGTTGAGTGACCATCTTGTCTTCATGATATATCTTTTTCAAAAGTGTTTGATAACTGCATGTAAAGGATAAACACAACAAAAATGTTTGATTATATCTAAAGATGGAACATTGATCAAAGAAAGATATCGGCCATATCTCATATCAGTCGGGCCCTAATTCAGACCCATTGGATATTAAAATAATGCACACACTGCTTTTTTTTCTGTGGGATAACAGCAAGCACATGGTAACCTGTTGAGAAATGTTTGATTCAAATAACATCACATGGTCATTTATATTCAACAGGACTCCTGCAAAATGGTTGAAAAACTAGCATCACTGTCTGTATAAACCTTAACTCGTTATCATCACCAATTTAAAGATCTTATACATAGATGTGCCTTCAATCTGGTAACTTCCCTAAAAATAATTTTCACTTTCCTCTATTGTTTTTTGTGTTTGAACTAACCTCTCAGTCGAAGGAACCAGAACACCTTGGCTGTTTTATACTGGCACTGGTATTCCCCTGTTCTGGTCAGGTTTTTCATCTCCAATCTCAGCGTCTGGACGGTCGGCTGGTTAACGACGTCACAGCTGTAAATATGTTGCAGTGAAGGATCCAAGCAGTTCAAAATGTCTTTACTCTGGTTAGCTGGAATCTTCAAGTCAACTTCAACGAAGATCACTTCACCCCTGAGAGCCACAAAGACCGTGGTGTTCAGCTGTAGGCCTGTGAGGGGACATGACATGATTAATGCAGGTTGAGACATGGCTGATGATTCAGCATCAGAAAATAGAACAATATGAAGAGCTGATTAATCATTAGTCATTGTTTTAGCATGAGCAGATACATTTAGGTTGTTCTGAATGAATGAATGACTTTATTTCAAAGCAAAAATTAAAATAAAAACAAAACAAAAGTGTCTGAAAATGAGTAGGTAGAAGTAAAACGTATATCTCTTTCTCACTTCTTCTATTAGTTTTTATATTATTCCAATGAATACTCGCATTTATTCACAACTAATATACAAACATATTCCCGGTTCATTAGCCACCTAAAGTAAAACAAAAATAACAATCCAACAACATTTTTTACAATCCTAATATCCACCTAGTGTTACAAAATGATCAGGATTACCCCTAAAACAACTTTTCCTCTTCCATATACCCGCCAAAATATATATTTTTGGATAGCTTTTTGAATTGATTCATATTTGTGCTTTCTTTCAGCTCTTCACCAAACCCATTTCACAACCCCCCCTGTATCCTGAAAGACAAAGACTCTTCTTATTAGTTTAACTTAGTTTTTAATTAGTTCATGATGGACAAAACAAGAAGTCTCAAACCTTCACAGAAACTCAAGAATAGAAAAACTAAAGATAGGACATAACCACTGGTTGATTTAAAGCTACATAAACACACCTAAACATATGCTGGCAGTCAACAAAAAACTTCACAGAACATTTTCAGTTTGAGTACATTTTTATCTGCTTACATGGTACGTCGAGTCCTGAGCATGTAGAAGGAAGGTAGAGGACAAACACACAGGTCAAGCTGAGGAAAAGGCGCCGTCTCTTTGGAGGTTCCATGTTGTGATTTGAAGGTGTTTTAATCGGTTCTTCTGACTTTTTCTTTCGTTGTCCCTGATATACTCTGTGTTTCTCAGTATTCTTGCTACATAAACTGATCTTTTGGGTTTCCTCTTTCTATGCAAGCAACTTCCCCAAAATGTCAATATCTTTCTTTTTTTCTGGACTCTGACTCACAGGAGTCATTTCAACTAACGATCCGAGCATTCAGAACTCTGTTAAACATATACATACATTCAACATAGAAATCCTCAAAGCATTGCCTCCTCAGAGGACACATTCACATGTAAATTAAAATAGTACATAAACACAGCACCTAGCTCGCTCTGTGTTGTGTAAAGAAGGAGTTCTCTGGTTGCATTATTCTATTACGTCAGCCTCTACATGTGAAGCTTGGTGCAATGTTGGCTTTTCTCCACAGAGAGACGGTGTTGGAGAAATGAAAGTGTGAGCCTCGAGCTCTGTCATGTGGTTTTAAGGAGACGGGTTAAGACTCACACAGAGAGAGAGAAAGTATCGTGCGTGTGTGTGTGTGTATGTGTAGCTGGGATCCAGCTGAAGGTGACAAATTGCCTGTTGTTAAAGTGAAACAGCTGTGGATGGTATACAGTGACTTCTTCACAGCAGTAACTCTCTGCTCAATCTCTCTCTGAGGCTGCAGGAGAGACGCACAGATGTCAAAGTGTGGAGGGTTTTTATTATTTAACCCCATTTGTCTGCTCGTCTGTTTTTCTTCCTCCCTCTAAAACCGCGTCCCTCTAAAACCACGTCCCTCTTAAACCACGTCCCACTTAAACCACGTCCCACTTAAACCACGTTCCTCTTTTCTGCAGCTACACTTGACTTGGAAGTAACGGTGGCCAACTCTGACCTCATATCAGCTCCAGCATGAAAACAGACAGAGCGAGCTCGCTGGAATAACATCTGGACGGCATTCAAGAAAGAATAATTCATTCCATTTCACATCCCAGCTCCCAGCGTTTCCTACATCCTCTTCTCCACTAAACATCCACATACAAACACATTTCATCAGTATAATCCATCTCCACTGAGGAAAAGCAACTTCACAAGAAAACTGCAATATTTAGTATTGTTTCTTTAGTAGACTTCAGTACTTTCATTTCAGGCTACATAATGCTTTTTTGTGTGTTTTTATGTACAAAACACATCAGTTTAGAAATATGACAAACCGATAAAAGAATGTAGCCACCTTTAAATATAATGTAAAGTATATTTTGATCATTGATAAATGTGCTAATTTTGATCTGGAATAATCACTCAATAAAACGATATTAGATGTGTTGTTTTGTTTTGACTTAACGGCCCAAACACAGGATACAGATGTGGAAGAAAAGTGATGTCAGAAACAGTTTCTTCAGGAGTGGAGTAGAGGAGGAATTGGAAGGCATATATAAAGATTTGGCTGGATTTCCAGCAGAAGGCTTTTTAACATGAGTCAGGTTCTTCTTGCAGTTTCTGCCTCCCCGTTTCATCATTACAGTTGATAATGTTAATATTAGACTAATCATTATATGATCATACTTAGCTGTTACTGCCCATACTACACATACTTTTACCATTATTACTGACATTGTAGCAGAAAGATGATAGGCTAAACATGAAGGTGAGACACCATGCTTTTGGATAGATGAGACAGCCGATAACAGTAACCAGATGATGATTGCAGGAAGTGTGAGTTAGCATGCAATGAAAGGGATGAGTGAGATATAAGCATGACTTCTTGACTGAACTTATGATTGAGCTGCATTAGTCTAAGTAGATATGATCTGTGGAGAGAGAAAGGGTAAATGCATGCTATTCTCTGTACATTTAGTTTCGGTCTGGTAGTTAAAGTGGACCTACGCTGCAGCCCCACAGAAACAGGGTACATGTGCTGCAGCCAAGCAGGACTGGGAGACTACTGGAGCTTAATAATGGGTGTCTGTCGGGCTGCTGTCCCAGCCGGATGGCAGGGCCTTAGCGGGCACCATACTGGGGTTTGGAGAGCTCTTGCTGTGTCCACATGTTTGGGTGCCTGGGTGTTACAGAGTTCAGATTATGTGTTGGTGGGATTGACTCAAGAAAAGAGTCGACGGGGATCACAGAGGTGTAATCTATAAAAATGTGTCATATATTAAACACAGATTTTATGCCTGTATGTAAATCTCAATATGCTGGGAAACTACCAATGCCAAATAAATGTAGTTGTGCAAAAAGTAATATACAGTATATACCTCTGAAATGTGGTGTGAGTTATGGTCAAGTGAAAAAAAGACTGACTGTCACATAGCTTCTCTTGACCAGATTCAACCCAGATATTTTTCTGCTCTCTTTTTTAGGGTAAAAGTTTAAAGCTGTGTGAGGGTAAAGGGGAGGTGGCGAGACACAGAGACCAATGAAGCTGGTCCATAACTTCATCACGGTACATTTCTCTGGAAACAGGATCCTGCAGCAAAGTGAGATACAGCCTCTGAACACATATACCTTTCTGCTCCACACAGGGGTAAAGAGAGGGTGATAGAAGGGGACATGCAACACATCTGGCAGCAGCTGTATGTCATAGTGTGTGTGTGTGTGTGTGTGTGTGTGTGTGTGTGTGAGACAGAGAGAGAGAGAGAGAGAGAGAGAAGGAGAGAGAGAGAGAGAGGGGGGAAAATAAAGAACAGGGGGGTTGACAGAGTTGGGTGCATGTTGAGCTGTTAAGATATTACAGCTCCCCACAAATAAGCAGTTTTTAAAAAAGTGGATCAGCCCTGAACCTGCCACACTCTTCTCCTGGAGAGAGTGTTAGTGAGAGCTAGAGGAAGAGAGAGAGTGAGAGAAAGAGCGAGAGAGAGAAATAAGGAGAATAGACCTGGGCAGTTGCAGAGGCGAGGGGCGAGAGGCGAGAGAAAAAGAGTCTGTGTTAAGTGTAGATCGGAGAAGGACTTCTTGCTGATCATCATTTTAATCAGTGAGTAAATCTGATTATTGGACTTGATTATTGTGCTTCTTGATTGTGGGTAGTGGGGGGTGGATGGTGGTGGGGGTGTGTTATAGTTGCTTATTGATTTGTTTTTGTGTAAAGAACTTTGTGCTACATTATTGTTGTATGAAAAGTGCTATACAAATAAAGTTTAAATAATTCTTCTTCTGTTAGTTTAAAAGTTAGAATTGTATTTATTCCAACACAAACATCCACCATCACACTGAGGTGTAAGAGACTGCTGTGTTGTTGCTGTGTTTTGCCAGATGTGAAACAAGCTGCATCGGATTATTTGCTAAGCTAATTTGCACTGCGCCTTTGATTGGCCTCCAAATTCATGTTCTCTGAAAACATTTGTAATACTTCTACAGTGAGTCACCAGCTTATTATTATCCAGTATGATTCACAGACGCGCACATATGAATGCAATCCTGATTTTGTTTTTCTTTGGTGTCCACTTGTTGGCTTTCACCTCGTCTCTTGTTTCAAACTTGGAGTCATGGGGTCAGAGCAAGAAAAAAAAAACAGACTTTAAAAACTTCCTTGGGCGGTTAAACTGAACTGAGGTCATTCTTTTGTCACAACACAAAACCCCTAACCCACAAAAAAAGATGCTTTCTTTAGTAATACGGGTTATTGGATTTTGCAGGTCAGATCACTTTTTATCTTACAACCCAGCATAAAGTAAGCCGGTGTACTTTGATGAATGCATTGATTCATGGAGGTAAAGTTAGAAGGAACACAAGAACACAGAATATCACACTCTGAAAGGCCTCACTCAATTATCAAAGTAAAAACTCTATATTGAAGTAGTGACTGCTAATTTAAGTTAAATCTCCAGAGAGGAACTTTTGGTTTGTGTTGATTTTGGCGCCCCCCTGTGGACAAAGCCTTACCTCTCATCTCTTTGCTGTTTTTGCCCTGTACATGTGGATGTTTTCCTTAACAAAGAAATCTCACCCTGCTTTCTTTTATGTATCAATCACTTAGAATCATTGCAATGGAAGATGGAAACAAAAGTTCTGTCTGTGTAGCGTTCTGTTAATCACTTTCTCTGACACCTACCCCGCACCGTTGTTTCAGGCATTCAAAATAATTGAATAGAAACAATAATAATCTTCATACTGATGGTCTTGTTTGCTTTTTGAGCTCATCCGGAGGTGTCAGAATTAATTTCAGTCTGTCTCATAGCCATCAAAAAACTTCTCACAGCAGCTTTAAAGTGTCAAATGTAGATGATGAATGATGAATGAACCTTTTCAGGCTCAGTATCAGAAACACTTTATATAACCTGTTGTGTCTGTGTAAGTTCTTTGTATGGCTCTTAAAATAGATTATTACTTTTATACTAGCTGTATTTTGTATGTGAAAAAAATTGTCCTTTTTAAAAAAAAAAAGCTACTGAAGTGTGAAGACAAAATTAATCTAAAATTTTTTAAAGTTTAAGTTCTTATTATGCAGATTTGTCCAAGCTCAGTTGGTAGAGTCGGTTGTCTCTCAACCTGCAGATCGGGGGTTCGATCCCCAGCTCCTGCAGCTACATATCTGATATGCTATATATGCAGTCTTTAAAATAAAATGCATTTTTTAATTAAACCAATCAGCTGACTTCAAAGCTTCTCTTTCTGGTGTCATCCATTCGATCTGCAGAGTCCCTCTGCACCTTTAAGAAAAAGCTAAAGACCCAGCTCTTTCATGAATACCTACTAACTTAATGATGATGGTCTCCATATTATTGATGATGACGATGGTTTTTGTTTGATAATGATGACTTATAAGATGGTTTCTATACTGATTAGAGCTCTCAAGAACTGCCCTCAATGTTGTGCTTTGCCTCTGGTCACTTCCTGTCAGCACCTGTGTGTCCAAAGCTCATCGTTTGCTCTTACTGACATTGTTCCCTTTTTTTCTAGATCCTTGCTTGTGTTGTACTTCCTCTCTGATGTACGTCGCTTTGGATAAAAGCGTCTGCGGTGTAAAAGTGCTTTCAGAAGACTGGAAAAGCATTATACAAGCTCGAGCCCATTTACAATTGAAGTCAATATCACAGTAACATCATATTCATTTACACTAGAAAGAGAAGCTTTGAAGTCAGCTGATTAGTTTAATTAAAAAATGCATTTTTTTAAAAAGACTGTTTGCTCTGTTT